CCAGAACAAGAACGAGAAAACCCACTTTTTGGTGACTGACGTCGACACGGGCGGCGTGCCTCCATTTTCCCCGCGTTGTCTGTACGACGTTGCGCAAAGACAGGAAAGTGGACTGATGGGTGCGAATGTGAAAAAAGAAGGGTAATATTGATAGAACGCATGTGGTTTCAGTTCTCTTTCTGGTTGTCGCTGCGACGGGAAGTGTAATTTGCATGGAGGCTCAGTCTTTTTCCCCGCGTGTTTCTGTTTCCCGCTACACCTGCTATAGTATCCGTGGGGGCGGCAGGTTCATCGTCAAGTCGTTTTTTTCGTCTGAATAAAAAGGGCGTTTCTCACGGTTGGGGAGTACGACTCGCGGCTCAGTGAGGGAACTTTGGATGAAAATCAGGACAAATGAGGCAGGCTGCTTGTCTATCATCGACCGGCGTAACGGGTTTCCGCTTGAACAGGTCCAGGTGGACTGAGAGCGAGAGGGAGCGTGATACCACCGTCACAACGGCCGACGTCACCTCTCTCTCTCTCTCTCTCTCTCTTTCCTTCTTTCCTTCGCCCTTATTTCGTTTGTTGATGTGTTGATGCAGGACAGGCATCAAACACGGCCTTGGCTGTTTCGTGCCCGAAGCAAGAAAAGGGTGTCATCGCGTGTAGGGCGGCCCCGGATCGCACAAGCACGATCTAGAAATTTGACAGTCCAGGGTTTGGACCATCCGGGGTTTTGACGTCTGCCGAAATGAGATGGAACATATTCCCAGCATCACGAACATCCCTGCCTCGCTGGAAGGAGAAAAAAAGCTGAAATGGCAAATTTCCGATATTGGTATGCTTCTTTTTTGCAGGTCCCCGGAGGAGCCCGTCCTTTGAAACATTCTTCAACTTTGGGTACTCGGTACGGAATACCGCAATCCTGGATGCGGTTTGGCAAATCTCTCTTCTCTCTTTCTTATTCTTGCCCTTTTGTTTCCCAAGGTCGCCCGCTAATTAAACGGGCTTTCTCATCACAATCCTCCTACTCATCACCATCTCCCTCCCTCCCCATAATCCCTTCCCTCCAGTCCCGTCCACCCACCCGGCCTGTCACCAGGAATACAACCATTTTGCATCTGAGACAAGACCATGCATACCGATCTTTGGGTAGCTTACCCTATGGTCACCAGCCGCCCTTTGGGAAAGCCCTTGGGGAGAAGGATTTCCAAGAAGGGAAACGACGGGAGAAGAAGGGGAGCGGACACAATTATCAAGAAAAAGAAAGGAAGCAGCACCTGCGGTGATAAAGTTTCGCTGGCGAGGCCGTTTACCGTGCAAGTAGAAACAAAAATGTATTACTTTTGTTTACCACTACAGAACTCCAAGACAAGGGCGTGTGCGTATGGCAGGTGAGACCCTGGCCTTTCACACGTGGATAAGGAATAGTGGCCATGACTTGCAAGCCATGGACTACAAGCTAATAAGGCATACGCCGCGAGCCTTGTGAGGCTTGTGTACCTGGGGGGTTAACTTACCAAGGGCATGGGAGAGGGAAAGGCGGCGAGGCAGAGAGAGGCGAGAGAAACGAGGGAACTGGCTTGGCTTGCTCGAGGACACGAGGCAACGTGGTGAAGCAGAATCAGAGCTGCGTGTGTACTCTGTTTGTACCCTTTTGTTTTCGCCACTGCTGCCGCCATTGTCTTGCAGGGTTTTGCTTCTACCGAGTTCCGCAGCAATGGGAAAGCTGGGATGTGAATACCAGCTCCGTATTGGATTGAGGGCTTTTTTTTTTTTTTTTTTTTTTTTTTTGTTTTCGGTTCTGGCTTCCCTTTGTTTGCCCCAGGGCGAAACCTAGCAGCCCGTCCTGCCGGTTCGCCCTGAATTTGACATGTCAGTTGGTACTTTGGTACTTGAGAGAATTGTACCAAGGCCTTGTTATACGTCTTGGGGCTGATGCATTGCAAGCCGTCTTTATCACATTCACATTTTCGGGGCCATCTGCGTCAATTCCAGAAGGCATTGAAAATTTTTCTCAATCATTTTTCCTTTTTTCTTCTTTTTAATTTTTCTTTGGAGAGCATTACATTTCACGCACGGGACCAAGGTGCCAGCTACGTTGCGGCGAACTGTGTTGGAATGTCGTGTTAAAATTGTGTCTCTCCGAAATGTTAACCCCAGCCCCGGGGGGGGAGGGGTGTGAGCAGCATCTTGGAGGTTTTGGACAATGTTTGCATGTTTGCTGCTGACTACCCTACTGCATATTTCCTTGGCTGATTTGCTTGCCTCAAGTGAATAGCAAAGAAAGACGTTGACAATGCAAGGCAGGGCATAGTCGGCGTAAAGACAAACCATGACGTTTCAGTTGTAAGTTTGGGATTGAGAATGCGAGTCGGGCTCAATGTCAGCAGGCCAAGTCTTGACGGAGCAAGAGAGAGATAATAATAGCCAGACAGGTAGGTAATAGCTGCATGGGCTGCACGATGCGACCAGCGCAATTGAACTTGTTACCCACTATCCCGCCCTTACAGTGGCCATGTGTTGGCGAACTTGTGAGCCTCGATCTGCAATCATGCCACAGTCCGGAAACCACACGACTTTTGCTGCATGAAGACGACGTGCAGAAGTTCCCACTCTGTGGATATCTTGTCCAACTCTGACCTGGCGGATACGCGGGAGCCTGTCTTCCGCCGCAGGCGCAGACGCAGAACTTCGTCCCTTGATGCGTTCGAAACCGGATTTTTCGTCAGACTCCCAAAGTTCACCACGGCATGCCGCCCCATGTGACGGACAATAGAAAGAGACTCTCGCGTCCCGGTTCCCCGTCTTGAGCCGGTTTATGCGAACATTCCAAGTTCCCGCCAGCCCGGACAGAGCCGTGAAGGCCGGCCGGCAAAAAGTCGCAATGCACAGAGGCGGCTTGTCCGCGGCATTTTCTTCCCCTTGGCACGCCGTCATTCAAATGTTGCGATTTGATCATTCAGCGCAGCGAGTCTGGGTCGCCCAGCCACGTCGACGGGGGGCCTATGCCACTCGACACTTTCCATGCCAACATCAGCCACTTGACCCTACATCTCTGCTTGCCGTAAACCTTTGGACTGCCTTTTACCCGGATGAGCTAGGTTGCTTTTTTTAAAAAATTTTAAAAAATGAATAAATAGATAAATAGATTATTAAATTTTATTACCACTATTGTCATCATTATTGATATACATCTATGTGCATGTGTGTATATAAAACCCTCTATTCCTCTCTCTCGCATGGTCCCATTGTGTTGCATCGCGAGTTGACTATCCGAACCAGAACAGCATCGGGGTTGGTTTCTTGTCCTTGCGAGCGCAACATAGCTTGCCATCCGGAGTAACTTGGGGCAAGGGACCGAGTGCTTTAAGCAGCAAAAGGCAAGAAATCTGTCACTTCGGAGGAGTTGCCCTGCCGAGTCCGGTCCAGGATTCAAGGTTCAAATGTCACACTGGCTCCATATTACCCTGAGCTGAGTTGGACGAGTTGCCAGGCACTGGCCTCGATTAGTTGCCAACTTTCTGGGTGTATCCGACGACGGCAACTCTCTAGATGGCCAACTCTGCTCCTATACGAGCACGGCCTACATGAATAGATGAGTTACGAGGCAGAGCCGCGCGCCGAGGTTGGACATTTCTTGCATCATCGGCACACTGTGCACTCTGACAGGAAGGGCAGGCGGGTGCAAACGGTCTTGTTGATTTGACTACTATTGCCTTTCAATGGCTCTATGTAACTTATGCACATGCAGCCTCGCGTAGCGTCATGCGGGTTTTTCTTCAATGGTAAGCTGACGCATGTGTTTGTTGTCAAGCCCCTCCCCAGCTTACTGGTAACCGCCCCAGCCACTCGCATGCAGCCTGAACCGGGCTCCAGATGTCGGTTTTTTTTTTGGAGCCTCCTCAGATCCTTAACGCTTGACGCTTGACGCTTAACCAGCCACACCAGACAAGCGCAAACCCGCAAGTGCTCGTTGTTCCTTGCTGAGTTAACGGCCCCGCTTGGCCAGGAACTCATCCACGCCCTTCCGCTTCTCTTCCGTGCCGAACGTGGTGTAGTACAAGTGTCGTTCAAACAGGTCGTCTCTGCATAAGCCGTCGGCTGGAAGGCAGGCGGAAGAACCATTAGTTTTACAAGTCCTCTGTGGCTCAAGGTGGAAACAAGGAAGAAAGGACGGGGCAAAGAATTTTGAAAAAAAAAAAAAAAAAAAAAAAATCCCTTTTTTTTTTGGAGCCTCCTCAGATCCTTAACGCTTGACGCTTGACGCTTAACCAGCCACACCAGACAAGCGCAAACCCGCAAGTGCTCGTTGTTCCTTGCTGAGTTAACGGCCCCGCTTGGCCAGGAACTCATCCACGCCCTTCCGCTTCTCTTCCGTGCCGAACGTGGTGTAGTACAAGTGTCGTTCAAACAGGTCGTCTCTGCATAAGCCGTCGGCTGGAAGGCAGGCGGAAGAACCATTAGTTTTACAAGTCCTCTGTGGCTCAAGGTGGAAACAAGGAAGAAAGGACGGGGGGCAAAGAAATTAAAAAAAAAAAAAAAAAAAAAAATCCCAACCCCAATCAGTGCAATACAGCACTTGGTCAAGAACTCGTGTCAGCAATGCTTGATCCTCACCTCTGCAGACAGCCTCCTTGGCCAATGCAAGCGCCTCTGACCCATGCGTCGTCAGGGACGTCGCGGCTACGATGGCTTGCTGGAGCAAGACACCATCTTCCATGAGGTCACATAACAGGCCCCATGACAATGCCTCCTCGCTCGTAATTGGTTTGCCCGTAAGAATGGTTCGCATGGCCTAGAAACGTGAAGAAGAAGAAGCAGCGTTTAGCACTCCCGACTGCCTCCCAATCGCTAATGGTACAGAGTACGGAGTACTTACTCGAAACTTGCCAACCGCAGCGGTTAGTCGCTGGGTGCCACCCGCACCGGGGATAAGTCCGCGTTTCGTTTCTGGAAGCGCGAAATATGCAGACTTTGCGGCGAAAATCAGGTCACACTAGATATCGATGGTCCTTGCATTAGCCACATGGTGGTTGAATGCCAACGCGGCGGAGACGACCCAAAACGGTCGGGTTCGCTGCAGCATCGGGAACGGGGTAAAGGTAGCTTTTTTCTTCTTCTCTCACCATCAAGGCCACTTCGAATCCGCCGCCAAGCTATCAGACGCAGAGTTCATGTAAGTTTTAAGTCCTGAAGAAGGCTTGGAGCGGGCCGACGATCCCGTCGAGTCGGCCGCGCCAACGTCAAGCCGTGGCTGGGGTGGCATGTCCTCACCGCTGGTCCGTTGACGGCTGCGATCAATGGTTTGCGAACAGCGGTCATGCCGACGCACAAGTTCTCCAGGTATCGACATGACCGGGCACCAGCCGAGTCCAGGTCGGCAATGTCTTTGAGATCGGCGCCGGCTACAACAGAGAGAAGAAGCACCAAAACATTAGTCGTCGTTAGAATCTTCGGACGCCAAGGTAGCCAAAGTGGAGCAGCAAGAGTGAGACTGGTAAGCCAGTGGTGAGGACGCCTGGTGAAGTGGCTCACCTGAAAAGAAGGTCCCGGTACCGGTTATGACGATGGCTTGAACTGCCGGATCTGTTGAGGCCGCCTCCAGCTCAACAAGGAACTCGTCGAGAAGCTGTCGGGATAGGGCGTTCCGCTTCTCGGGTCTGGTGAAGGTGATGAGCCTGACACCTTGGGCAGGTGACGTGGCTTGGACAAGACCATGCGTAGACATGTTGGTTGGCGATGGATGCTTTCTCCGTTATGGATGTGGGCGTTGAACCTAGAAAGGTGACGGATGCGATGAGTATGAACAACGGCACGGTGGATCGGTACAACCAATTACGTTGTCAAAAGATGTAGATTTGGGTCTCTCTTTTCCCCCCTTCCCTGGCTGCAGGCAAAGGAAAATTTGCGAGGCGACAAGGAGATGATGATGAATGATGTCGTCAATGGGCTGTCCTGTTGCACCAACAGATAGATGACCGGCGCCGTGGGGGAGCAGACGTGGCTTTGTAGACAGACGGGGGCAGGGATGGTCAATAGCAGCAGCAATAGCGATTGCAATGGGAAATGGGGAACAGACAATGGGGAATGGGCAATGAGTAATGGGCAATGGGCAATGTGTGACAGGAGACGATGGGATTGGTGATGGGGCTGGGTCAATGACTTGAACTGATGGAAAAGTCGTCAGAGGTCAAAAGGTGGTGAGGCGTGGTGGAGTCGACAGGATACGGTTATATGTAGCATGTTCAGGTATTAGACCAGCCACCTGAAAACGGGGTTTGGCCGGGGGCCGGCGTCTCTGTCAATAATACTTGACTATTTCTGCGAACCGATACGGGAGAGGGGACGATTGTTTCTTCCAAACCAAATGGAACGGGTCATTTGGGGCCCTAAGGGGGAAGAGTCTAACGCTGCTACAGTATACTACAACAAGCTGGTGACGCCAAGGCAGGGCAGGTGGACACGAGTTCGAGATGTTGATGAATGCTAGCAACTGTGAAACAATATGGAAAGCTGAAATACGAGAGAACATTGAGAAGAGACAAATTAAAAATTCAGAATCAATGGGTGACGCCCGGTGGTGCTTGGCGGCGCCAAGTGACACTTGGGGTACGGAGTACCTTGGCCATCAACACGAGGCAGATCCAACCAAGGATCCAACGAAACGGTTCGCTCCTGCCTCTTGGTTTACACGTGAGCGCAGGCTCGCAACTAAACTGCGGGGTGTCAACTATCTGGAATCACAGACAAACAGGCAGACGATAGTGTCCTGTTGGCGGTGCTCCGTAGTACCAGGCGGCGTGTGGAGTACGTAACTTGCTCTGTTCGCCGTAATGGGAAGACAGACAAGGACAGGTGCGAGTCTTAAAGTGGGGCGGGGATGGCATCTTTGTTGAATATGGCAGGAGCCTCCTAGAGCAGTCACAGAACCCAGAACCTGGTGCCTGGTATCTGGCGCCTGGCGTTTGGCGTCGGGTGTCAGGTCTACAGTGTACACCCATGTCCATCTCCAACTCCATATGCGAACTTTTTGATCATGGCCATGGCCCATGGCACCAAACATCACCTTCGGCTCTTGGTAACTTATAATAATGCAAACACGGTGTTACCACTTTTTCCTGCAACGAGCTAGGTACGCACTCGGCAGTCCACCCCCCAAGCGTCTGTGTGGCAACCTTGGTTTGGCATCACCTTTTGATCTCAGTTGACGTCGGCCGGACCTGCATCGATTGTTCCACCGGCCGCATCTACTTCTCCTGGAGGGGTTCACGCCGCAGGAACAAAACAAAACAATACGCACAATATCACGAGTGTTATTTTGAGCATCTCGAAACGTTGACGCAGAGCCCCATCATGCTCGCCCTGCCCTATGCCCGTCGTTGTCGTACGGTTGTCCTCGCACTGCTTCTGACTGCTTGAACTTGACTTGAGCAACCCGGCACTTATTAATTGGCACCTAATGGCGTCGTCTCATCCCGTTTCTCTTTTTCGCATGGATATCTGCAAAAGGAAAGCCAGACCGGGCCAGAAAGCCAAGGCCACGAGCGCATAATCCGTCACCCAAGGGTCGTCCAAGGTGCAAGGGCCAGCTCCAGGGTCATCTAGATAACCGAAACAGTTTTTGGCCTGATTGCCTCACCGTGTGTCGGAACCCACGCTGACTGTATGCGACAGCACGAAAGCCACGTTTGATCGGCCGATGGATCCCTGCCACGGCTACTCCGTAGTACTTTCTTCAAGTGCGAGCAGAGATCATGCAGGCAGGGCGCCACACACGCCTCGACGTCTGTAAGCTGTGCCCAGGTACTCCGTACATGATACGGCACTTCTTCTGGTCCTACGCACATTGGACGCATATCCTGCCTACATTTGCATGTGCTGTGGCTGCAGGAATCTACTTCCATAGGGAGCTTCTCATGTGTGCCCGTCTCAGGCCACACGCCTCTTCGGTCAACTCTAGTCTATTACTTTCGCCAACGTCCACGGTGACAAACTTACTTCTGCTACTGCCTGGTGGTACCGGCCGAGTGGACCTCTTCGTCACTGGCTCTTCCAACAAACCACCCCTGGCCTCTGCTGTCTACTCGGAGACGTGGAGCATTGGTTGAGTGGTGGTGGGGGCAAGGTGCAACTGACTGAGACGTGAAGACTCTCTCTGTCTACCGAGTACATTGACGGAACAACTGCCAAGGGAAGACGTTGCACACAAAGAAACGCAAAGGAGTCGGCCTAGACTTCTTCTCGCATGTGCAGTCTGGCACTCTGGAGGGAGAGAGTTGTCTCCATCTCACTTGAGCTTACCTTGACGGGCTTCTCCATCGGATGGCAAAGGCGTCTTCCCATCCTCAAAATCCTCCCATCCTCACCTGAAGATACCTGGGCTGTCTCACCAGGAGAGACTGCGCGATCGAGTTTGTGAATTATCAGCTCGGCAAGAACCCTTGTGTTTTGGCGAGTCTCAATGAGCCCTCTGCTGTACTTCTGGTCAAAGTACCAATCTCTACTTACCCTTTATGGAGCTCCCGTCTCCCGTCGCGGCATTCCACAAGAGAATGGCCCTCCGGCCTATAGTATTGCTATCCGATACGGGCCCGACCCTGCTCGAAGTCACACCCCCACCTTTTGCCGTGAACACACGCCCAGGGCCAGGCTATTGTGAATCAACTCGAAGCGCTTTTCAATTCGTTTATTTGCTTGGATTTTTCCTAGTCAGGGTTGCGACTACATGGGACTTGGCAATCATACCTTCACATAGAGGGATTGTCCGTTGTTGTATTGTCCTAATACAACTAGGTGCTGATCGAGTCAAGTGCCTGCATCTGCCCAAAGAGCGGGAGACCGCGCTCTGGCGGAACCTGGATCTGGAGAGCGGCGACAATTGAAAGCCTGAATGGCAAAACTTATAGCCCAAATGGCAAATAATCATTCCACGCCGAGTGCCAAGCATCCAAAGCATCGCACTACCCTGCTCAGCTCCCTCCACCCTGATGCGCAGCGGGCAAACTGTTCTTTCTTGATGGCCTATTATTTCACGCCATCGACACCCCGGAATGAGATACCCAGTGACCCGACTTGACCCTTCCACCCCCTCACCCCTCCCAAAAGCTGAGAGGGGTGTGTCTGCATTAAACATTGAAGCACTTGTCCCATGGGCCATGGCCCATGGCCCGATATGCCTCCAGCGTATGCATTATTGTGAGGCGTATGGCAGGCCGTTTCCCTGCGCCGATTCTCTATGCTCACGTCTCCAAGAACCATCGGTAGTCGTTGAGACCCATAGGTGTTCACGCTCCCTGAGTTCAAGTGGTTCAGCATTGGCCACAATTCAAGTTACCCCCGGTCGAGCAAACATGCGTTCTCTCATGTAGCATGTAGCATGTAGCATGTAGCATCCAGCATCCAGCATCCAGCATCCAGCATCCAGCATCTTTGTCGGCGGGCCCAGTATCAGACTAGGATGTGCGATGCAAGTATTCTCACCCAGCAGCTTCCCACAAGCCTACCCCAACGACCCCGTTGATATGGCCGAGTTGCCCGGGGACGCGGTGCCTTTCGTGAGGAGAAGCATAGCAAACGAGATCAGGGAATGTGCTGGCAAAACTATTTAAAGGGCCATTCCCACTTCCTTTACAGCAATGGAAGCTGGAAGTCCAAGTTTCTTCTCCAACTACTACCCATTCTTTCACCTGCGTGTTGGCCTCAGAGTTGACTTCAGCCGTCATCATGAACGACTCTAGGAAACCTCATACCATGATCCTGCCTACAAGGGACTTCACCCACGGTGAAGCATCGTATTGTCCCTTCCCTACAGTCACTGCAGCCTTCTTTCACTATGCTGCGGCTATTCCCTCAGCCAAGGCTGTTAGAGACTTGTCTGCTAATACAGAAAGGGCGCTTACATATCGGGAGCTAGCCATCCATGTGCAGTCACTTGCGTCACGGCTGCGGAGGATGGGCGTGGGCCCTCACCAAACAGTCCCACTGGTTGTCAAGCGAGGGGCTGAGATGGTGATTGGTATATTGGCCATATTGTCCTGTGGTGCACAGTATGTGCCTCTCGATGGCGGAGTCGTCCCGGATTCTACGATCAAGCTTGTTGCGGAGCAGTGCGGCGGGCAGAATGTTGTCTGTATAACATCAACGGAAGACCGCATCAAAAAGCTCTTGCCTACGCACAGCCCCATAGTTGTTGAGCAGACTCCAGTTGAGGATCAAGAATATGATGCTCCAGAGTCTTGGGTTGATCTTGCGTCTGCTGACGGTGGATGCTACGTCATCTATACCTCTGGTTCGTTCAAACTCCTCGTTTTGAAAGCTTGTCACTTTTCACATAGAGCGGTGCTAACAGCTTTTTTTTTCAGGAACCACGGGGAAGCCAAAAGGCGTCGATGTTACGCATAGAAACGTGACCAACCTTGTGTGCCTGTCTCCAGGTGGACTGGGGGTCCAGCCGGGAATGTCTGTTGGACAAGTTCTCAACATTAGCTTCGACATGGGTATGTTTTGCCGTCACTTTACAGCAGAGAACTGAAGCTATCCTATTCAGTGGCGATTTGTGTACTGACTGCTTGCATAGCTGCTTGGGAGATTTTCTCGTGTCTTTGCAATGGCGGCACGCTCGTTCTGAGAGGCTCCAAGTGGGAGCCTACTGTTCGACAGGTAAGAGTTTCCCTGCCGATTCCAATTCTTGAAACCCAGAATTTTGACTGACAGCAACACTCGTCCTGTCTTATCAGCTTGACGTATTCATTTGCACACCCACCATCTTGTCAAAGTACCATCCAAAACTGTATCCCAACATCAAAGTTGTCGCAACCGCTGGAGAACCCACCTCTCAGGATCTGGCCGATCTCTGGGCAACACATGCAACGTATTGGAACTGTTGTGGACCCACGGAAACTACCATTGTCAACACAATGTCGAAGCATGTCGCTGGTGACCCTATTTCCATTGGCCGGCCGACTCCCAACAACTCGGTTTACATTTTAGACAATGACGGCAGACCCGTACCTGTGGGTGTGGCTGGTGTGATGTGGGCAGGCGGCCACGGCGTCACTCGTGGCTACGTGGGGCTTGAATCCAAGACAAAGGAAACGTACATTCCAGATCCGTTCGCAAATGACGGGTAAGTCACTGAAAATCACCCACACGGTTGGTATGAAGCAAGGCCGCTAATTGGTGTCTCACATACAGATCCAACATGTACTGCACGGGGGACCTGGGCAGGTGGAGAGAAGACGGGAACATTGACATCTTGGGTAGAGTGGACGATCAGGTCAAGGTCAAGGTATGCGAATCTGAATATCTGCCCAGAGTTGTTCCCATCATTGGTTTCAAAAACTGACTTGGGTCCTTCCCAACTACTCCAGGGTTTCCGAGTGGAACTTGACGGAATATCATCTTCGCTGGCTTCCGCACCTGGAGTTACCCGTGCAACCGCCCTTTTAATCGAGGGAGAGATTCATGGGTTCACAACGCCATCTGGTCAAGACGAGCAGTCGATCCTTGCCCACACCAAGAAATTGCAGCCGTACTATGCCATTCCGTCCAAGCTTCACCAGCTGCAAATCTTCCCCACTACAGCAAATGGGAAGATTGACAAGAACGCTCTTCGTCTCATGGCTCTTACGCCTGAACCAAAGCACGAGACACAGAGTTACGACGAGGAAGCTGCAATCGGCAGCGACCAGAGCACTCTGGCCGAGGTTAGATCCATATCGACTTCGTCCACACTGACAGAACCAGAGAAGCACAAGCTCGACATTTCGAGAGAGATTCCGGAAAAGAAACTGCCCAAGCATTTGCGAGGATTCCGACACCGTATTGCCATCGTTTATCGATTTCTCTTTAGCCTTATTGGCCTGTTAAATGTCGGCGCGCTTATTGCCCTGCTCCTGGCCAACCCAGGAGCCGAGTGGTTCGCCACCCTCACGGCGGCAAACTTGGTCCTTGCCGTTTTGGTCCGCCAGGACGTCGTCATCAACACGCTATACACTGTCACTTGTTCTCTCCCCAAGTCGGCTCCCCTCTGGATGCGAAAGCGCTTTGCAAAAATCTACCACCTGGGTGGTGTTCATTCCGGTGCTGGAGTGTGTGCCACGGCGTGGCTTCTCGGGTCCACATTCCGGTCAACAGTGGCTTATACGCAGAACAAGACGAATGATTCAATTGCAACCCTAATGGTTTCATGGATGCTGTGTGTATTGTGCAGTGGTTTGGTGGGATTTGCGTACCCTACATTCCGGAAGAAGTACCACGACCAGTTTGAGGGAATTCATCGGTTTGTTGGCTGGACAGCGCTGGCTCTGTTTTGGGTACGCACCATGTTCTCGGTGCGAGATGTCACGCCTGCTGGCGAAGACTTTGGACTTGCACTTGTGAAAACGCCAGGATTCTGGATGCTTGGTGTGGCCACCTGCAGCGTCGCCTCCTCCTGGCTCTGGCTGCGCAAGGTGCCCGTCAACACTGTACCGCTTTCGGACCACGCCGTCGTTCTTTCGTTTGACTATACGGTTCCCGTTAATGGCAGCTTCACGAGAATCTCAACGCGCCCACTTTTCGAATGGCACTCATTTGCCACGATTCCAGCTCCGAAGCCATCAGCTATTGCCGAGAAGCCTGGTTATTCTCTCGTTGTTTCGAATGCCGGTGATTGGACCAAGGATTGCATCCGCAACCCGCCTACTAAGCTATGGGTGCGTGGTCTGCCCACTTGTGGTGTTATGAGGATTGCTACTCTGTTCAACCGCATTGTCGTCATCGCCACTGGCTCTGGAATTGGCCCTCTGCTTGGACACATTGGCCAGCCCAGCTGCCCGACTCAGCTTATCTGGTCAACTCCAAGCCCCGAGAAGACGTTTGGCAAGAAGGTTCTTGACACAATCTACGACTCTATCCCAGATGCCGTCATTCACGATACCAAGAAGCTGGGTCGCCCCGATCTGGTCAAAATGGGCTACAACCTGGCCAAAGACTTTGGAGCTGAAGCTGTTATTATTATTGCAAACGAGAAGATAACTAAAAAGGTGGTCTACGGCCTCGAAACTCGAGGAGTTCCCGCATATGGAGCCATCTGGGATAGTTAAAATGGTGTCGCTCAACAGTCGTGACACGCCTCTTTCTGCGCCCTCTTTTTTCTTTGTTGTTTCTGGGCTTAAGAGGGAGGTCTCCGGGCCCCAAACTCTATTCGATTGATACCCTACCACTCTCTGTACAATGCAGCAATGCCAATTTTTGCATATACCAACGGCTGTTGACATATGGGCGGTCTAGCCATTTTTTTTTTTTTTTTCCCCTCTTTCATTGTTTTTTGAGTCATTTATATCGGCAGTCCACAGCATGCTAACATGGAACACGGAGGAAAATTTGATCAGATATAGAACTTTTACTCTGTTCCTTTTTGTTTCCTTGTCCTGTTTTGCCTTTTCATTTCATTACTTTCAGGGCATGGCGGCAACTTTCCTTTTGCTCCTTGTTTAGGCGCGTATAGTATTTACATTACAATGAACCTGCCACGGTGGCAGAAAGTTATTGATGCATTTTGATTTTCTGGCCGTTTGTATTGTACTTGTCCAGTTGTATTTAGCCCCCTGCCGCCCGCGAGAGATATCGGGGACGGGACGTGCGGGGGGAAGAATGGATCTCATCGCATTATCTTGGCTTCCATCAGATCTGGATCTAATCTGGAGCTGCTGTTGATATATGGGAGGTCTATTTTTTTTTTTTTTTTTTTTTCCCCTCTTTCATTGTTTTTTGAGTCATTTATATCGGCAGTCCACAGCATGCTAACATGGAACACGGAGGAAAATTTGATCAGATATAGAACTTTTACTCTGTTCCTTTTTGTTTCCTTGTCCTGTTTTGCCTTTTCATTTCATTACTTTCAGGGCATGGCGGCAACTTTCCTTTTGCTCCTTGTTTAGGCGCGTATAGTATTTACATTACAATGAACCTGCCACGGTGGCAGAAAGTTATTGATGCATTTTGATTTTCTGGCCGTTTGTATTGTACTTGTCCAGTTGTATTTAGCCCCCTGCCGCCCGCGAGAGATATCGGGGACGGGACGTGCGGGGGGAAGAATGGATCTCATCGCATTATCTTGGCTTCCATCAGATCTGGATCTAATCTGGAATCTGAAGCGGCCCCACTCTTCGGGGATTTGCGGCTCTGTCCGACCCGGCGCTAAGTTAGTGGACCTGCCACACCGGCGGGCCGTTCTGTGCATGCTGTCGTATACTTGTAGTAGTATCCACACGCACCCGTCGAGCCGGTCCCAGGAAAAGAAAGTTCTCCAGCATCTGGCGGCGGCTAGCTGCATCGGAGAGGGCGTGACTTCAAATTGGATCTAGTCTGCGGTCCCGGGAACCATGCATGAAGGCTTGCCCTACGTCGCTATCGCACGTGGCCTGCAGCAAAAAACGCTCCGACGGGTCCAACGGGGTCCAACGGGGTAGTTGGACCAGAATAGCACGGGTGCAGTGTATGCCGAGTTGTAGTGGTACCATGTCGCAACCTGCTGCCCGTGACAGGGCTGCCAGGACGAGGTACGGCCCCGGCCTGGTCTTGCCGTATGTTGTGTCAGTCTCCATGGTCTCATCACATACATGTTTGCTTGAGTGGGAGGACAGCCCTCAAGAGATGAGTGACACTTGCATACTTCAGCCTGGGGTGCGGATACGACCCCCCGGGGAACGGGGGCGCTGCCCTCTCTGGCCTCGTGCAGCTCATGACGAGCGTCCTCTAATACGGTGGACCGGGAATGCTTTCGTACCATCGTGCAGCGCTACGCCTAGACGCGCCTCTGCATGCCACAGTGTCAATGTAGTGTAATGCGCGTCCAAGGCCTGGCCCCCTCATGCTGTGTCGTATCCAGGGCGGGATGCGTGTCTGAATCTTGAGACGTGCGTCGACATACGCGGGGTAAAATAAAAACAAGGGCATGGCTTCAACATGTTTAGATCATTGAGAGAGTTAACGAAAGTACAAGTTCCTAGCGATGCTGCCGAACCGAGCGTGGCGGGTGGGTGTGTAAGCCTGCGCGAGTTGATGTCATGTTCTCATTTCTTTATACGGACAAGTTTGTCTATGCTTATATTTCCTAGCCTGTATATTGTGAACTCAGAGGTCAATTTCTGCACAAACTAATTTCTAGTCTTCTTGTTGTTGTGCAGAAGTGGCGAGTTGAGCGCGACTTGTTGCATAACATAAAGGTTTGTACGATGCAAAGATGAGTTGGCTCTTCCTTTTGGCGCCATGCGTGGCTGGAATGCTGGGCAGTCTGTTTGCTACTGCTGTGTTATCTGGGGAAATAAAAAGCAAACAAGTTGACAAATCTTGAGAACTTGGTTGTGGTTATACAAGGTTTTTCTTTTTTTCCCTTTTTTTCCCTTTTGTCCTCTCTCTATATATAAATGACGTGTTGTACGGAGTAAGATGGTGCCGTTGGAGGTAGGACAAAGACGGTAGAATGTCTTGCATGCGGCCCGGGGAATTTTCATCAGGGCTGTCAAAAGGCTGGGGAGAAACCGCGGGGACTCTGACCAGACTGTTTACTTGATAGACCGAGCTACGTCACATGCAACATTCGATGGCGGCAGGTTGTCGCCCACATCAGGAAGGGATAGTCCAAGGAGTTGTCGTTGCCCTGTTACGTGCAATGCTGCTGCAGTCTGTTCCAGTCACCGCGGTATACTGGAGTGTTTTGCGTGTTTGAGTTTTGTTTGTACGTTTCATTGCGTTTTGACTTTTTGTTCCTTTTTGTGTGGCGACGCCTAGTTCATTGGTGCGATGAGTTTACTTGCACCGGGCTGCCTTTCTCGGAGGAAACGACGGGGGCTTTTTCAATTGAAACGGCCTGCGGCTCGTGATGTGTAGATTATGAATACCTTTGTCTTGGCGGTGATTCTATGGTGCACCAATGGCTGATGACGGCACCATGATGCGCTTCAGTTGGCAGTTATGGACCCGGGACCGGGTAACGTTGCAGTATTCCGAGCATTTTCAGCGAATAGCGTTAACATTACACGTTACAAAAGAGAAACCTACTCGTCAGATATGTCCCCATGGTCTGATTACAGCAGGCTGAAAGGCTTGTTCCTCATGCTCGTCAAGTTGAGTGACTTTCACCTCTCAGCTGCCATGCACATCAGCCCCCTCGTTCAATACGCGCGCTCCTCTCTTGTCGAGATGCCATCTGACAAGATGTGAAAGAAAAAAACGACTCAAGTCTGCATGCCACCAGCCAGAAATTCCACTTCGTCTTCCCATCGTGAGCGCCCGCACACCCTCCCTGCTGCGGGTGAGAAGTCGGCAGTTGCGAGGCGCAGGGCGGACAAGGCGAGCGTGACTTGGATCCAGCCCGTCGGAAACAAGCTTGCTTCTCCGCCGGGAGTGTTGCCAACGGCGTTTTCATGTTGTGTCTCCTCGGGGAAGAGGGGGAGTGTGGCGGATGCGCTTCCTTCTGCACCGGCTTGTGTTCCCGAATGTCGATGACAAGAGAGGCTGGTATCTTGTCTGGTCCGTACAAGGAGCCGCGTACCAGGCCATATCCATTGCCGGGTATGCCCGCTGCAGGTTTAGGCATTGCCGCGCGTGCGACCGACTTTGTGCATGTTGTGGATGTATGCATGCATCTATTAATAACTTATGAGTCTGGGGATACTGCCGGTGTCGTACATGGCCACGTACTGGTTACACTCGGTGTCATGGACGCACATGCTGCTGTTGCACTGCAAATGTCGCCCAACGACAGCTACGTCTTACACGTCGCCACACACGTCGTCGTCGACACGAATGGGGAACGCCCTCCCGGGACGGCCACCCCCCTTGGGCCCATCTGGGCAGGAAGCCAAAGTCGATTGTTGAGTCTAGTCGATATTGGGCCTTCCTTTGCCTCTGTGCACCAGGCCCAACAAGGCAGGCCGCCCTCACCGACACATGGCTGGCTCTAGTTCATGACACACGACGGGCGGTTCATGCCGGCTTTCTTGTCCGGATATGTATTCTCGGGCGATGCTGAGGAGTTGTTTCTTTCTCGCGCCCCCGGGGGTATGCTGCACCCTCTTCAACGCACCAAGTGGAGTCTCAAACGGGTGACATGTGTCCCAAGTATTGTGTAAATTGCAGCACTATAGTATGAGTTTTCATACCTCAAGTTATGATACATGTGTTTTGGGTTGATGACACAGTTTGCAGTTGATGCACCACGGTTGCGAATTGATTACTGTGGAACCGGAACAATTGTCCTAACCAGAGAACCTCTGGGGCCATGCAGAAAAAAAAAAGGTAGTAATGAAAACATATATGAAAACCTAAGCAAAAGCAGCATATAAAGCGCGTGAATCAATACACCGAGACTTGATTCGGCTCCGGAGGCAAAAATGATACCCGGTGCCGGAAGGTCGCCAAATGCGGCAATGGACCCCGTCATTCCGGCCTCAATTAAGCTCCGATGTCCGACGACAGCTCGACATCAGCCCGCCTCACTTGATGTCATCCAACGCACCCTCGCAACTTGTAATAACAACGGCACTCTTCTAATAGCATCAACAAGCTACCGCCATCATCTTCGCTTTCCTTCCCAACCATGATGAGCGTATCAATCCCACCTCGGCATACGTCGTCTGCTCCCAAGACTCGCGCATGCAGCAATTGCGCGCGACTAAAAATGAAGTGCGCCTGGCCGCGAGACGACTCTGGCCGTCCTTCGGCCACATGTACAAGGTGAACATGCAGTTGAGCCCCGTCGTGGGCGGAAATAGGAGCCGTTCAAAGCTCACAGTGATTTGTGTTGTACAGATGCGCGCGGATGAAGGTGCCATGCGACGTTCCCGCACCGTCACAACGGCGGAAACGAGGCAAATCGAGGTAAACCTAAATCCAATCACTCGGTCTAGAAATTCTAGCATACTAACAAGGCCAAAAACACAAACGCAGTCGAGCCGCCCTGCTCGAACAAAAAATAGACGGCATCATGTCCTTCCTCGCCGAGAATCAACATGGACAACAGCCAGGCCCATCACCAATGACTCCCGAAAGCCAGCTCACGCACAAAACCAGCCCTGCAATGCCTCAAGTCCCTCAGATCCCCGAGCAAGGCGCTCCGCAGCCGCGAACCGAGCCGCCCCGTTCAACAGGGTCCGGCAACCAGGCTCTCTTCCGCCTCACCCCGGACTTCCAGGTAACCGCCCGCGAAGCATCACGCTTCCTCTCCATATACATGTCCGAATACGCGCCCAACTTCCCCTTCGTCATGGTCCCCGCCGCCGCCACCGCCCACAGCCTACACAGCCGCAGCCAAGGCCTATTCTGGGCCATCATGACCGCCGTGGCGCCGCAGTCCTCCGCCGTCCAGCGGCACGTCAAGACGTGGTTCCGGCAGTACGTGGCAGAACACGTCCTTGTCCGACAGGAAAAGACCCTGCAGCTACTGCAGGCCATTCTCGTGCATCTCGCGTGGTCAGTACACACCCGCAACCCTCACGCATACAGCCTCCTGGAGTCGTGACATCGGAGGGGCCAACAAGCTGAAATAGGGGCGACTTCCACTTCTACATCGACGCCGAGGCGACCAACCTCCTGCACCTAGCCCTGGCGCTGGCCATGGACCTCCGGCTGGAAAAGTCGCCCGAATCCAGCGCCGCCACGATGCGCTCCCAGCTCGGCGAGGCCTGGGCGGCCCTCCGTCAGGGCGTCCCAAGCAGGCTCGGCATCCCGCACACCCTCGACGACAAGAGGGCCGCCCTGGGCCTCTACCACCTGTCTTCACTGTAGGGCGAAGCAAGCAAACGGAAATCCCGCCTTGAAAACAAGAGACCAATGCTCACGCGCCCGCCTCGTCGCAGAACCTCGGCACTGTTCAAGCGCGGCCCCCGATTCCCGTGGACGCCCTACCTCTGCCAGTGCTGCGATGCGCTCACCGACGCCCGCGCGCACGAATCAGACGCCCGCCTCGTCGCGCTGGTCCGCATCCAGCGCATCGCAGACGGAGCGTACAGCATCCTCGCCGCGCCGGGCGGCACGACGCGCGACACACGCACGTACGGCGCCTCTCTCGAAATGGCCGTCGCCCACGTCCGGCGCGAACTCGACTCCTTTGTCGCCGCGCAGCCCGAGGCCGTCAAACAAGACAGTGAGAATCCTGCTGCCCCCCGCCCCCGTCGACAATGGCCCCGAGTGTTGGTTGAAAAGAAACAAAGCCCACGCCACCAACTAACCCCCTTTCTTTGTAGGACTCTTCACAGCCTGCCACCGCGTGCTGACAATGCGCCTCTACGAGCCGGCAATGGCCATGGCGGCGCCTCCCCCGACCGACTCCGACTCCCTCCTCAGCGAGCCGTTCCTCCGCGCCGAGTCGCTGGACAAGTGTCTCGACTCGTCCGGGGCCTCCTTTGCCGCGCTGCTCTCCATCCCGCCCAGCCAGCTGTGCCGTCTTCCGCTCGCGGGCACCGCTGCCCTTGCCTTTACAATCGTCACGACCTGTCGGCTGCTGTTGCTTGACACCGCGCCCGACTGGCAGCCCGACGTGGCGAGGAAGAAGCTAGATTTTGCCGCTGCCTTGAGAGAAATCCAGGACAATTTTGGGCATGCAGACAAGTGGGCCGTGGAGAATGCCCGGAAGAGAAGGCTGAGAGAGAACGACGACGCCGCAAACAGGCCAGACCATTATACGAGCAACTTGGGGTGGATTCGGCAGTGGTACATGTCAAAGGCTGGGCAGGCGGAACGGCAGTCGTCTGAGGCGCAGGCCCAAGAGGGCACTTTGACGCCGGCAGATGCCCAGCCGTGGCCCGATGCAAGGCTGGACTTTGAGTTTTGGCCCGATTTGATAGCCATGTCTGATGTGGCCATGCAGACATTCTCAGGAAACACATGGAGCGATATTTGACTGGAACTCGTTTCGAAAAAAAAAAATAATAAACATATATCTGAATAGCAACAATATTTCTCTAACGATTGAAATACATTACGCCTCGTGGTATCATGACAAAGAATGACGGTGACCATGCCTATAATCCTGAAAATCTTGCCTCTAGCCCCAATGTAACCAAGCTCAAACAGCTGAAAATGTCGTAGTACAGTGTAGCCTTTCCCTTCAGCTCATGGCTGAGGCTGCTGTCCTGGACCCCATAATGCTTTCGACACGGTTGCCTGTGCCCGTGTCGGTGCAGCCAACGTACCGCCAGTGCCGTCATACGGACTGTAACGCGCTTGCATTGCACCAGTCTGCTGCGGAGTGTCGTGGTATTGGAATTCGTGGGGCGGATGTGCCCCAAATCCATTGTACGGCGACGGATCTCGTTGTAGTTGTGGAGGTGTTGCAGAATAGTCACGAGCCTCCGGATTGGGCTGGGCGTTAACCATCAAGCCAGCACTTTCTTCAATTCTAGACGAGTAATATGGGTTTGCCTGCTGAGAGGGATACTCGTATGCTTGCGTGACTGAGCCGTATTCGTCGTGCTGACCTGGAGGGGCGACTCCGAATCGCGCGTGCTCATGGGAGCTACCGCCTTCTTTATTGTCAGGGAGGTTATCCATGTCAAGGCCCTCACCCCGGTTCCGGCGGTAACTGACATCCTCCTTGCGGCGCTTGACTCCACAGCAGAGCCATCTCATGCCTCGGCCGAATGCTTTGATGATATCCCATAGATTCAGTGCATCATACAACGCCATGAGTCCCATGTGACCACCAGAGGGCGCTAGGCGCTCGTTTTCGACGGCAGGAGAGCCCTTGTCCGCGTTGGGACTAGGATAATATGTTCGGGGTGCGCCGACAGTATACGGCGCGTACGGGAAAGCCCAAAGATGGAGTATCGCAAACATGGCCATCTCGACGCAGAGGAGTAAAGCTGGGATGCCGACCTTTAGATCAGGATATGCGATAACCTCATTAGGATGAACAATCCTGAGAGTCGATGTGCCCACAGAGATGGCTGATGCCTGCCAGAAAGACAAGAAAACGACCAATTTGATGGCAACAATTTTGAGAAAAAGCTTGTGCTCGGCCAACTGCTCTTTAAGTTGGACGTAGAATTGGATAAGGCAGTACATTGCGATTGTAACAGCTATTGCGTTAATGACAATAATCTGTTAAAAGTTAGGACATGAGCTCTCCATAGCAAGAATAGATCTAGGCCGTTTACATACCCAAATGTGACCAAATACTGGGCTGTTGGAACTTTCGCAGTATCGTTTGAAGTACTGGGACACAACTGCAGATATGGTCATGGCGACACGAATGAAGCAGTAGTGATATACACCAATCCAGATGATATTGAACCACGTTAAACCACTCTTCGGTAATCTCCAAATACCTCGCTCGCCGCCACAGCATTTGGCAAACCAATTGACTGGCATAACCCATGGCTTTATTGGGTATAATTCGCGAAAAAAGGCCTTTTGACTGTGCAAGTCCGCTGCAACGTAGTGACACAGCAGCCCGAAGAAGGACGCAATAGCAAAAGCTTCGTAACAATCCGAGATGACCTGGAAGTAGATGGCATGCCAATACCACTCAAGTTGCAAGTATGAGGAGATGGAGTACACGGGAACCATGAAAAGAATACGGATGATGCTAAAAGGCCATGGTTAAAATGGAAGTCATCAGAGAATGGTTCCTCAATCACTTACTATCGCTGCTCACGAGGCTGGGTATAGTGCAGAGCGTGCATCCAAATAAGATACAAACTGAACGCTGTGGCAATGAGGGTAGACGATGCCGAGATGATTCGAGCGAGGTCATGAAAGTTGAGACGCCCAGCAATCAGGCGCTCTGAGCCAGGAGATACTGTGTCGAGTAGCGTTAGTAGTTACTAGATGGTGTAGCTACATGAATAGACAAGACGTTGCTTCAAAAGTCACGGCATCAGGCAGCATGGCCACCCCAGAAATGAACGACACAGATATCGCAATCCCGAGAGGTAAAAACGTACTTTTCATATCCTCCAGCGTAGTGTTGCAAGTCAGATTCATGGTCGTGTTTGCAGCTCACGGCTGGTGCGTTGTCTCGGCACGGTCTTGGTCCTGGCCCTCCAGGGGCAACGAGTATCCAACCTCGGCCGATTGTAGAGATGGAAACTGATATGAAAAGGCGAGTCAACCTTCAGATCTAAATATTGAGCTGCAGTTGTATGTTCTCGGCATTGAAAGCTGCCCAAGGATATCTTGCGCCCAAGAGATCGGGAATCTTTCCTGCGGTTGTCGCAAAGGAACGAGGGGAGCTGCTGATGGCCGAAGGTCCTCGAAACGGCTCGTAGAAATGGATGGGTCCACCTATGTATGTTTTTGATGTTCGTTGTAGCCGGCTCTGTTCGATACCTCCGTGTTTGAACTCTCGACTGGGCTTGCTTGCTTCGAAGGACTGGATATGTATGTACCCTGTGGGAATGGCGCAGAAATTGTCTTGGTCGCACGATGGACAGTCTGGGATGGGGTCAAATACAGATAAAAAACGATGTGAAGGGGGCAAAATCAGGCTACAAAAGAAAAGAACACAAGGCAAGCAAACTCTCAATCCAGGAGTTATGAATGTAGCAAGTCGTGCACAGAGTGAATGCTGAACGAAAGAAGGTGAGGTTTGCCGCAATACCAGGGGATAAAACGGACCAAGGCGCTTGGGAGGGCGGGAAGGCGCGACCGAGTGACGGAATGCTGGTGGGGAGTGGCAAGTGCCATTGGTGGCCTGGTGGGTGGTCGGTGCGACACGTCACCCGTTCCTGGGCCTATTCCCTCCTATTCCCTTCTTGTCTGCGTCTTTGTCAGATTGGAAAGGGTCAAGGTGGTCGCTCCTGCCGGTTGTTGCCTTTTTGTCCAAAGGCGCTCCGCTTGCCCTCTTTTTATCTTCTTTATTTTGATCAGCACCGACGATCAAATTCTCTTTCTTCGTTGCGAGTTCGGAAATGACGTTCAGCCCGCGTGCTTCTCTGGCGCCCAACATCGTTGCTTGCGGAACAAATTCTGCCTCGTCCCCCCTAACAAGCCACGACGTTAGTGACGAGATCAACCCAACTTGCATGTGCTTGGGCTAGAATGCGACCCTTGTCCCCTGGTTCAATTCGCGGGATGTGCTACCAACGTAATGGATCTGATGGGAAACTTCAACGTCTCACGACTCATTTGCAACGATCTACAATTAGCATAGCCTCCTCCTCCAGGACCCTGCCAACCACGGCACCTTGTGGACACACAATTCTCTATCGACTACTTGGCCCCTTCTAGCGTGTTTCAGCAAGGCATCATCTTTAGCACGACAAAGAATAGCGATTTCAACGGTGCTAGGTCAGGGGTCCTCTGGCTGCCTCTCCCAGGGCATTGCAGATTCAATCGAGTAGGGTTGTTCCGTGACCCTTTTTGCCCGAAGTCTGTGTTGCAACACACCAAGCACACAATGCTGTTTGTTGGTCATCACGCGGGTTGCAAAAAAGGCCGCACACCCCGCACCCACAACCACACACACAGGTGTGCGGCCTTTTTTGCAACCCGCGTGGTCATTCAACACGGTAGTGTAAGCTGTACGTGGCGGTGCTCGGGATGATGCAGATGCTCATGTCGTACGGACGGAATTGGGGCCTTGAACCATTCTGCCCAGCTCAGGCTCGCTGAGCCACGCTTCTTGCGTTTGCGTCGCCGGAACACGGATCCGAAAGCTGGAGAGAAATACGCGCAGCAAATTACTCGGCGGGGACAGATTAGGGGTGTACTATTAAGAGACCGAGAAACCCGGTGACACGACTGCCTATGCTTGCGGCTCGGGACCGAGCGACAGTGGGGTCGTAGCTCGTTGCTCTGCGAGTTACTAATGGCTGTCACAATCTGACGTAAAAGTGAACTTCGCAACGGGCAGAGCGATTCGTTTTGGAATACGACCCGGAGGGATGTTCTCTCTTTCTTTCACCCTTACTGACTTCTTTTCTTTTTTCACCATCAGCTGGCTATGGCAACTCAAGGAATCCTTAGACGGGGGATCCCACTTCGGGTTCGCGAGATGCCATTGTTTTTTTTTTGTTCACTAATGTGACCTGCCAATGGGCTGTTTTTGTTGCCCATTGTTCAGTCTTGCCCCAAGAGAAACTGCGACAGACCATGCTGGAGGCCGTTGACGGCCACACTGTCATGGTTCTCGCCAGTGAACTTCCATGTCCGGATACTCTGCATATGCCTGCTACCTTTAAGACGATCAATCAAACCTAACATGCTGTCTCCCATCTCCTCCTCTTCCGAATCACAGATTCCCCTACGTGACGCGTCTTGGCTCTTTTTCTTTTTCTTTGAAGGGAAATCTCCCTCAGTTGATCCCCACGCCAGAATCAAGGAGAGTGCGCGGCCTCTGCCTACTGGCGGTGGTTGTTCCCGAATAGTCGCTCCTGGTACTTGACGATTGAGAAATCGTCCCGTCAGACCGTAGCACTTACGGCAATGATTGTGTCAAAGGGAGTTGAATTTGAGTACAACGAACAAAGCGAAAAAAAGACCGCCGTAGGAATTACCATAGAGAGCTCTCCGCGTGTGGTGCCCAGCTATAGACAGATGCGAGAACAACTTTCCTTACACGAATGCAATTACATCCTCACGGATGAACTCCAGGAACTGGTACGCCTCATCCTGGCTGTGTATCAACGGCTTATAGCGGTCATTTCCAGTTGGAGCTGTGAGATCATAACAAGTTGTGCATACACGAACAAGGCGGGGGACACCCGATGCCAACGACAATGGCTTTGCAGCCCTTATTAGTGAAGTCTAGTCTGTGGGCAATGTCGACGGCGGTGAAGAAGTACTCATTGCCATCTACAAGATACCTGAGAAGAAAAGTTAGCTTTGGTGCTCAATTGGCAACGTCAGAGCATCCTACAGTGAGGGAAAAATCTAAACTCACACGAGAGATACTGAATCGTCAGCTATTGCGGGTATTCGATCCTGGCTCCAGCTCAGCGGCCAGGCTACCTGGACGAAATAGGTTTCTCTTCTAGACCGGCCGTGTATTGGCAGGTATTTGGAAGGTGGCCTGGCTTCAAGGCTCTCATCATGCCCACGATTACTTGAAGATATTAAGCTATACCCGGGGTTTGTGGGGTTTCTCGTTGTAGGTTCTGGAGGGAAGAATTCTGGAAGGAAGGCGGCGGTTGTTTTCAGATGCAGCCACACACTGTACATATAATTGCCTGGAGATCCCCTCTTTAAAAACAACTCAGCTGAGACCCGCCAACATCATGCTTCGATGGGATCAAGAACTTGGATCAGATAAGATGGCGCCATAGTAATGTATATTAGTGATTGCTAATATCCACTCTGCATACCAGATCCCTCGAAGAATGCTTTCTACCCGTGGGCCTACTAGCGAGAACTTCACATTGTTCAGGCATACGACTTGAATGAGTGACCCCAGGAGAGTTGAGCAGGCGCTTCATTACGTTAGGCATTTGTTTCAGACTCGCCAAAGTAAAGATGCTGTGTCTTAGGTGTACATGTATTGTGATATATGAGTGTACATAAATTCTTGCGTCCATACGGCGTTTCTCGTCAAAGGCGATACGGCTGCTGCCTTCAATAGATGCAGTAACAAACGTGATATAGTTTTCACGCTCGCCAAACTACCTTTCTACAACTTGTGTGCGAATGCTACTACCCGTCGGCGACTAAGTCGACGAGCCACTTTCTAGCCCACTTAGTTGCCAATGGGTATTCTGACCGAGCTACGGGATACGAATATGAATCAAGGGCAAACTCCATTACAATTCATAAAGGAAAGTGACAAACTAATGTGACAGTCCACAATCACATGTGCAATCGTCTACAAACCGTACAGGACAAATTCTTATATACGAGAAATACCTGGTAGCAATGGACAATGATTGCCAATTTCCATCAAGAGCATATACGTCCCTCCAGATATATCAATCCCCCCAACTCCACGCCAATGCGGTTATAAGGTCAACCAAAACTATCCGGCAGTCCTAGCAATGCATCGCTTACATCCCAACCGTCTATTTTTTCGTTTAGTCAACTCGCTGGTTTTCAATACAAACACTAGAAATACATGTATGACTTCACATCGAATTATAAAGTGGTAGGTCCCAATGCAGCATATCATCGACAACACCCAGAACAACGGCTCGGGCTGCGAAAAGTACCATGAGATAATGAGCTCCTGTTGGCAGCATATACAATCTTGTGCGACTTCTTCCACAGGGTATGGAGCATAAGTTGACATAAAATAGAGCCAGTTGAAGCTGAATGCAGTTGTTTTGTAATGGTACCAATCGTAAATAAAAAGAAACAAAAATGCGATATGATGTCGACCAAATAAACGCCCAAACGTTATGGCATATTGGCTCAAGACTTTGCCGCACCGCCCGTCGCCTCTGCCTTGCTTTCTTGGCACGCGTTGCTTCGCGTACACGTTGAATACATGTTGCAAAAAATTCTCCGCTCATTCATCTGCGATCTCATCTTGTCGGCCCATCATGGGCTTTGGAAACACCAATCATTTGTCTACCGTTGACTTCCTGCGACATTCTCTGTGACTCCCTGCGCTTTATCGCCGAGGCCGTTTCTCGCGTTCGCTTGTCAAGCTGCCCACATCCTCCTCGCTTCGTCTCTTGCGTCCACGGTCCTCCCTGTGATCTCTCCTGTTACCCGTCTGGTTTGTCCCGTCTCGTGGCCCTGTTCCTCGACTACCACTGCTTGAACCCCTATGACCACCTCGGTCTTCACCGCCCCAGTTGCCTCCGGCAAGCTGACCGTCGACTCGATGTCGGCTGTCCCGTCCGTCAGCTGGTGGAGGCGGGCCCATCGAGTCCCTTGGTTGACGACGAGACTCGCGCTCCTCCCTGTTGCCGCCAGCATCCGGGCCGCCCATAGATCGTCTTTCTCTGCTTTCGTTGGGATCCTTGCCATCTCGATCACGTTCGCGACTGCTTCGGCGTGACGTGCGATTAGATCTATCAGACCGTCCTTCGCGCTCATTCCTGGAGCGATCGTGATCGCGTCGCGCTTGGTTGTCAACTCCATTGGGAGACGCCCACATTGTGTCATGTCGCTCTTGATTGGGTGTTGATGTTGATGAGCCACCAGCAAGAACCTGAATGTCAGAATTGCCTAGCATTTGCCGCGGCTGGTTGCTGCGAGGTCCGGTAGTGCGAGGTGGTTCTGGTACCTTTGCCTGTGCCTGTTGGAGAGTATTGTTAATTCCTGCAAGTTGTCTCCTGCTTCCGCCGCGTCCTGGAAAATCTGCAGAGGGACCAGTTGGCATGTCGGTGTCAGGTCCAGAGCCACCCCGGTAGCTAGGCTGGGGTCGATCAGGAATATTGGCCCCTTGGCCCTGGTGGCGCTGGTTTCCTTGAGGTCCAGAAGGTGGGCCCCCAAGCTGGGCGAGGCGGTCTGGATGAACACCAGACGTCGGTGTTGCGTTTACATTTGCTGGTGAAGGCTTATCGCCACCCTGAGTGAAATTCCTACTCCGCCCTGAGGGTCCTGCAGGAGTACCACCCGGTGTCTGCGGCCCACCGCCGGGTTCATAACCGCGTCGGTTTCGACCAGAAGATGGACCAGTTGGGGGACCAGCTCTTTCGGGGGACGGCGGGCGCGGTGTTTCCGGAGGACCGAATCGGTTGTCAGGTCGACCCGGCAACGTCGGCTGCCCATGCCCGCCTCGGCTTGCGTTTCTACCTCTGCCTCGTGGACCGGACGGAATTTCAGAATTAGGAGGTTGGGGGACAGGGTTAAGTCGTCCATAGTTCTGGTCCTGATATGGCTTGCGATTCTCGAGCTCCTGCGGACGGCCCCCCGGTCTGTGGAATCCGGAGCCATCACGAATTGTATCTGGGTGAAGTCTATCGTCTTCCCGGTCCATCGGCCGCTCCCCTCTGAAAGTGGCAGGTAGTGGTGACCGATCCCGTCGTTCACGGCCACTAGGACGTTGATCTTGAGAAGCATTGCGATCCTGACGATCTTCCCAAGTCTGAGGCGCAGAACCCTGCTCATTGCCATGACGATTGCTGCGCCGTGGAGACTGGCCCCTTGCAGGTCTTTCACGGCCGTCGTCCCGGTTTAGTCTGCCAGGAGCATTATGAGTGACGTCGTCTCTATCGGCAATAAGAGCAGCTCGTTCGGGATTTATGCCGTCCATAGCTGCACTGCCTCCTTGTCGACGACCCCTTAATGAGCGATCAGGGTCAGCTCCACGCGGCAGTCGCTCTGGTGTATCCTGAGCAAAGAGTGCTGCTCGTTCAGGGTTCATGACAGGCTCGCGCGGTTCCACTGGCATAGCAAGCTCTGCCCCAGAGCTTTCGGGGAGGCGATCATGTGCTTTAGTACTAACACGTTGCTCGCGATGTGGTCGCTCACGCTCTAACTGTGTTGGTCGTGGTGGCAGATCGGCACGCCCATTATCTTCTTTGTAGTCAGTGGCACGGCGGTCTCCAAAATCGCGACCGCGTCCAGGGCGCTCTGAATCAGACTGTCGAGACTCCCTGTGGTCTTTGATGTCGCGGGAGTCTCTTGTGTCCCTATCCCTGCCATCTCGGGCATCGCGTCCATCTCGATGGCCGCGAGATTCTCTAACATCACGGCGATCGTGACCACGCGACTGACCGAAGCGCTCAGGTGTGAAGTGCCCAGGGATGGGTACATCCGGGCGACTGGGAAGATTGTGAGAGGGACGATCTGGCAGCTTGTGACCTCGTGGTTCACTTTTGACAGCCGCAGGTTTCGGGGTCGAGGACCTTGACTGCCCAGGTGTATCACCGAGCTTTGTCGAGTCTCGACCATTTCCAGTGGGCTTGGGAGGCAAAGGCTCTTGAAGCGTGCTACCACTAATTTCTCGGGTAGCCTCTTTGTCTTGTACTTCCCCATCTTCTTCTTCAGCAGCAGTCCTAGCACTTGATGCTCTAGAGTATGTGGTTAATGTTTGGTCCGTCAGGATAGAGCAACAATTCGAACATACTTATCGCCCTGGGGTTTGAAATCGGGAGCAGTTGGTCGCAAGGCAGGGGCAGATGATTTATTTCCTTCTTGCCGAGATCCAGTAACCTAGTCACAAGTTAGTTTGATACAAAAAACACGCACTTATGACAACCAACGTACAGCGTTTTGGCGGAAAGCTTGCACCATAACCCATTTCGACTTTCGTCGTTGCAGCGCGGACATTGCACCTTGCGCAGCAACGGACAGGTCAACACGCCCGCCCTCTTCGCAGTCGGGTGAAGTCTTGGCCGCGGCCTCCCGCTTTGTGATGTTCTGGAGCTGAGTAGTGAACTGAGTTGCCATAAAGTCTATTGCCGGGAAGAAGTCCAAGACAGTTTTGAGCACAGTGATGCCGTTTCGGATATGCATCCATTCGGACCCCCCGAGGCAGTTTTTAAGTGCCATGTTCAAGTTCTTGTGCCACCTAAACAAAAGATCTCTAAATTGCGCATGCTCGACAAAGGTTTCTGGCTTGCCCTCATCGTTCACCGTAAGAGAAAATCCGAAGTGCGGTTGTTCGGAAGGCCCCTTGCCTTCTTTGTCATATGCTCCAAGCTTCGGGACATCCTTTGCTCCCTTGTTGTCCTTGTCTCCGGGAATTGGGTCATTCTTGTGCCAGCGCGATAGGTCTTCCAAAATGAGTTTCAAAAACCGGCCCAGGTACTCGGCTTCTCGCACAGTACAGGTAAAAATTAGTGATCTCAGCCGATTTGCATTAAACAGTCGATCGTAAAGAGACATGAGTTTGAAGACTGGGGCGTTCCACTCATGAAGAGCTTTGATGAAGCGAAATGTATATTCTGCATCGGCGGGTGACACAAGAACACGAGGAAGCAGACATTGCTCAAGCAGGACGTCGGAAATAATGTCTGCCTTTGCGGTTGCGTCGGGGAACGACGACTGAAACTGCCTTGTCAAGTAATACTTCCACTTAGCTTTGCGGAGGCCATGCTCGCTAAGTTCGTCCAGTAGATAGCCTTGCAGGTCCATGAGCTCTTTTCGCTTCTCATTCCTTCTATCAACCGCTTTGCGGCTCATATCCGACCTGTCGCTTGAGAGCATCTGCCAATCACTCATAATTCGCTGGCGTTCACGAACATATGTTTCTTCTGGGAAGCAGATGTCTCCCAACTGCAATGCCCAGAACGTGGCGTACAGTTCAGGAGTAATCTTTTGCCAAATTTCAGGTCGAATGGTTGGTCGAATCGACTCGATAATTGGTTGCAATGCGTTCACAGCTGTGCGAGTGAGCGACACATCTTCCGATTTCTGCCTGCAGTTAGCTATAATCCACTGTTTTCCTCAAAGGCTGCGCAATACAATGCATACCTGCTCCTCGTTGCCCATAGTTCCTTGGGTTTCCGGCTCCTTGGATTCCTCGCCCTGAGGCTTAGCCTCCGCCATATCTACATCGCCTTCCTTGTCAGTGCTGGGTTTCGCAACTGGTTCCTTCTTTTTTCCTTTGCCCTCTTTCCATGGGAAGATTCGATGACCAAGGCTTGTCCTGCCAATAAGGAAAGCTAAACTAGTATCAAGACCATATGTTGTTATTAGTTCAGAGATGGACGGAACAATGGCATCGAAAGTACTGGGGTCGAGGTTGCTCCAGAGAAGATCAAGATATTGGATCAAGGTTTGGTGAGAGTCGTCGACAACAGAAGACAGGTACTTGATGTGTGCCTCATCTTCCGCTACACGAAAAATTGCAGCCTGCCGATACTGGGCTAGATTGAGCAGAAGGCTAGCTGCCAACTTGGAGTCTACAAGAGCCTGTATGAGGCGCTTTGAGCTCTTGACATTGTCGAATCGTCGATCCTGCGCTCGAATAAGGGTATATCTTCTCAGCCAGGCGCCCCCAGCCATTGATAGCACTTGGTAGTCGGTGAAGTCCACAGAATCGACAATGCCACCCATTGACGAGACAAATTCCTTGAGAATAATTAGGTCGGTAGCATTGCCACGGAAGAGCTGGTCGTTGACGTATTGTAGAACCGGAGTCGGACTCAAGACTGGATAGCGGCGGAAGACTTTGCCGGAAAATCGCGATAAAGCCTGCAGCCACTTACTGGTTGTAAGAGCGTGCTCAGCCTGGGTTCGACTTCGCGACTTGCCCAATGAGCTCAACAATGACCAGATGAGCACATCATATGACAGATCTGTGAAATACTTGGCGCATTCGACAAACGCCTCAATTAGGTTTGGATATGATTCTAGCTGCTCAAAGGCGACTCGGAAGACAATACCCGGAGATGAGTAGCTAGTTTTGGCGAGCTGCTTAGCCATTTCACCGAGATTCGTCAAAGAAACACGTTTCATCGTGCCTCGAGTTTCGGAAGTAGCCCGCGCGAAGGCCGATTTCATGGCAGGTAGCCTGGATATTTGCCCCTCAAACCACTCAGCATACGCTGAATATCGTGTTGTTAAAGGATAATGTTTGAGAAGAGACCAAATAGCGTCGACAACGGACGCGTTGGCCTTCGTGTGGCTCAAGGCTGGCAGCATTAGTCGTCGCAGAAGATCATACCATCGATTAAGATTAGACTCTGACTTGTCGTCTGCGATACTTTTACTACCAATAACAGCCAGTTTGGCCAGCAGGGCCTCGTCCTTGCCTATGTTAACACCAGACAGATTCAAGAAGGTATTACAAAGCGTAAAGACGTCATCAACTGTCTGGCAAACTGGAATGTTGTCTGCCCATTCGTCCCAATAGAACCGATAGTTCTGGTTCTCATTGACATCAAATTTCTCTGGGTATGGCCACCGCCATTGTTTCTTTGGTGCCGGTCTGTGGAGTCTCACACTACCCTTTGGCATCCCGGATTGATCAAGATCTGGGAGCTGCTTATTGGGGCAGTCAAGTGACGACATTGCCATGGGCCGGGTATCATTATACACCTTTTCAAGGCTGACGTGAAGGATGCGATGTATTCTTTCAAGAACATCAGGAAAGACCTCGGGAATCCAAGGAAATCGACCAAGGATGAACAATGACTCAGGTATAGCGCCAATTGTCAGTAGTTGGGTCAACAGTGACACTTTCTGTTCCAATGGTTCTGGGAGCCTGTTCTTAGTGTCATTTTCTTCTTTTGCCGTCTGCTTCACCTCCGTATCAATCTTCTTTGGGACCTCCCTCTTAGGTATATTCGACGCGTTAGGGTTGTCATCATCGCCTTGTGGGAGGACGCCCGCCATCAAGAGCGCATTCATCTGTCCTCCACCTCGAGCTGCACGCTCCTCCTTTTCTAGTTTCTCCGTTTCCTCTTCGCGAACTTTTTCCATATCATCGTCAGATGGGGAAAGATGGGGATAAAGGTCGATAAGGGAAATAAATCCAACTTTGATCAGAAGGGCAGCCAGGTAGAGCAAGTTGGCGGGAAGGACATCAGTCTTGTCGCGTAACTCCGAGTTGTAAAAGAGTAATTTGAAACCAAGAAGCTGTGCGGCGACACGGTTTCCTGGAGGGGGTAGTGTTTTCGTTTCTTCCATCCATTGTTGTTCGAAATCAGCTTCTTTTGTTTCTCTGCCGTTGGTCATTTTAGCTTGTTGCAGATCCACATCGTTGACTCGTCTACCGCCCAATTCGAAAAAGGCACCAAGGTGTATTTCCCTAGCGCGGTCCCAGAAGGCTACATCTCTGGCTAATTTTTGTTTGGCGATGAGCTCCTCGTCCTCAACGGTGGCAGTCCATTGTGAGTAGCCCGGGTTTGCCCATGGTGGCAAACCTCCGTTATATGTAGCATCGTATTTGAAATGAGATCGCGGCCACCATGAGCTCACTCTCAAAAACTTGACGAAGAACTTGTATTGCTTGATCAGGACAGCGGCAGCAACGTCAAGCGTGACATCAAGCACACGCCCCACATCCAAGTCGAAAGTACCTATAAGGCCCTTTATTCTTTCAAAGGTTTGCTCGGCTAGTTCGGGAGGGGTGGATGTCACACTGTTGGTTGCGAAGAGCTCTGTGATAAGCTTCGAGTAGCCTTCAGTTTCTTCGCGAAGAAGGTTGTAATTTGCTTGCCGATATAGAAGATTCGTGGCTTGACGAACACCTAGCCTGGTAAAGTTTTCTCGAATCAATCCTATTTGTTGTAGGATTGGGGCATCCAGGACTTGACGCATCAAAGCAGGCGAAACGCCTGTGGCCATCAGGAAGTCCCGAAGTGCTGGTCGATATAGTTCGGAGTCGCTATCCATAATGATACCAAGAGAATCGAGGAATAGAGTGTGAGGAGCAAAGGCATACGCGTCCTTAATGGTATCCGCATTGTCCTCCCCCAAGATCTGCTTGAGACATGCCCCAGCATCAGTGGCGTCAAGCCTATTCTCAACGACGGCTTGGATGAATTCTTGGAAGAGCATTGATAATTCAGTGATATCAACGTCTTCTCGGGCTTGCACGCCATGCTGAACAATCTCTTGACGACCTCGCTCATTCCAAGCTTGTACTATATCGTCCGTGAGGCTCTCGTACCGATAATTTGATTTTACGGGAGAAACTGGTCGTGGTGTTGGTTCCGAGTGTGGCTTCGTCATAACGGGAGAACTCGGTTGCCTTGAAGATTGTGACTGGGCGGAACCAGCGGGGGGTTGCCTGGGAGCAGATGGTGAGGAAATGGGCTGTCTGGCAGGCGATGGAGGTTGTGCCTGGCCTTGATTTCTGGGTTGATTTTGCACGTTGTTGTGTTGTTGATTGTGGTGTTGATTGCCTCCTGATCGTCCGTACCCTTGAGATGAGTCTCGGCGATCAACGCCCCCTCGTTGGCCATGTCCGAAATGGCCACCACGAGTTCCTCGTCCCCTGGAGGCACCATCATGATGGCCGTCGTGCTGGGCAAGATTTGTGTCCCGGGGTCGGTGAGGAGATGGTCGGCCTCCATCGCCGCTCGGCCGGTCTGGCCTCTTTCGCTTCGGAGGCATGAGGTATACTCTAGCTGGTTCGACGGCAGTAAAGCACTTGATAGATCATTTGCGCTGGGGGTGGGTATAAAAGGATACGCGGCGGTGGGATGTGTGTAACGGAAAAAAACGTCACGGCCTGTGGGTGTTGACAGCAAACGTTGAACAACGTGAGCCCCGTAGCCCGAGAAAGACCATGCGACTAGATATCTGACAGCGTATGAAGGAGATGAGGGGAGTGAACTTGAACAAAGAAATACTCGAATCGGCCGCCCCAGAAGAGAAAATATGAAAAGAGACTTTGCAGCAATCTGTGGAGCGAAGCAGCAACCGGCGCAGAAGCAAATGCTTGCCCCTTCGGCAAGACGCCTTGGTCTCTAAGCCGAGTGCTCGTCCAGAAAGGAGCTGAAGGGGTTGGCGTCAAGCGACAGTGCATTCACGATGCCGATAGACGATGGAGATGCAGAGCTCCCGCTCACGTCGCAGTCTTCCAGTGGCCAAGTGCACCTCAGGTCTCCACCACGGAGTTGCAATGGAGCTTTGGGCCTCTGACAACCAGGGGACATCGAGGAACAAAGAGATCGCGATTTCACGTGACGTATCACGTGTGTTGGTAGACAGGTGGGATGCCATTGTGGTCGCAAAATTTGCGACTGATTGGCTCAACTGCGGTCTCGGACAAACTAGTGCTTGAGGACCAGCGGTTGAAGGAGTTGGAGCAATTGCGCCATCCAATGAATTAGCGGGTTGACTCAGCACAGAATCACATTTCTTCCAAAGACAAGTTATGTCACTCCCGACTAACAATTCTCCCCCTAAATTACTGTTGCGTTGATCAAGCGGCGAGATTCTTCAAGGCAAATTCACTCTTGAGAGCATCGTTCTCTGCGCTGTTGGATGCGGCAATTGGCCCCCGCGCTTACGCAACCTCTGAGGTGTTAAACCTTCGGGATCCGTTGTCGAAGGTCTGCCAAACGTTTCCCATCGACACTAAACTACGATGCAGCAAGAAAAAGCTGCCAATGGCGACTTAAGGAAACAATATGGTCAGTATCCTTTGTTCTTTATTTTTTATCTTTCTCTTTTGTCATCATTCTGCCAATCCTATTGCCCATGTGTTGTTGGCGGGTGCGGTATATGTTCATATTGCTGCACTACCCTTTACCCCATGCCCTTCTCGCATGCCTCCACCTCCAACGCTTGACAAGAATAGTTGCTGAATACCTGGAAGAAAGAACGCAGTCACAACCCGAAAACCCATTCGCTAGCTTAATCCCAGACCAGCAAATAGCAATCATTCCCGAGTTTACCTTGGAATCTGGCATCACTCTAAGAAATGTTCCCGTCGCCTACACAACGCGGGGCAAGCTCAACGACGCTGGCGACAATGCCATGGTTATATGTCACGCTTTGACCGGTAGTGCCGACGTGAGTGACTGGTGGGGTCCTTTACTCGGTGGTCCGGGTCGAGTGTTTGATACTTCAAGATTCTTCATCGTTTGCATGAACAGTCTGGGCAGTCCATATGGCACAGCCAGTCCCGTCACGGCAAAACATGGCGATGTATCAAAGGGAAACTACGGGCCAGAATTCCCACTGACCACCATTCGTGACGATGTCAAGTAAGTAACCATCATCTTTGTCAAACTTTGACTTCCTGCCTTGTAGGTTGGAATGGTGTTCTTTGTGTTCTTTGACAACAGACCCAGGCACCGGGGACGCTGACTTGTTTTTTAGCCTCCACAAACTTCTTTTGGATGATCTGGGAGTGAAACAGGTTGCTGCTGTCATTGGGGGATCCTTGGGTGGCATGTTTGTTCTGGAATGGGCGTACTTTGGCAAGGACTATATTCGGTGCATTGTCCCCATCGCCACGTCAAGCCGACACAGTGCGTGGGGCATCAGTTGGGGTGAAGCCCAAAGGCAAAGCATCTATGCTGACCCCAAATATGACGATGGATACTATCCATTCGACGACCCGCCGGCAACCGGGTTGGGCGCCGCCCGCATGGCCGCTCTACTGACATATCGAAGCCGCAACTCGTTCGAATCTCGATTCGGTCGCAACATTCCCGATCCGTCCAAAGTCCAAACTATCCGTGAGCGGCCGCGGCCTAGCACGCCTTCGGAAGCACACTTTCATATTCATAATGACGGACACAACATCAAGCGCAAGAGCACCTCTCGTCAGGCTAGTGCATCACCCGGCAGTAATAAAGCAACGACGCCTCCAGCAGATGCCCCAGACCCGCAGTTTCACGGGCCTCGGAAACACGAGGGGGTCGATAGCGAGAGCTTGACCGGAGGCGAGACCCTCCCACAGTCTCAGTATTTCTCGGCGCAGTCATATCTACGGTACCAAGGCACCAAGTTCGTCAAGCGTTTTGATAGCAACTGCTACATCGCAATGACTCGCAAGCTAGACACGCACGACGTGTCAAGAGGTCGCGCAGAGACCATCGGCGATGCCTTGGCCATGATTGAGCAGCCCACTTTGGTTCTTGGCATAGAAAGCGATGGGCTCTTCACATTTGCAGAGCAAGAAGAAATTGCCGAGCACGTCAAAAATGCCCGGCTGGAACGGATTGAGAGCCCTGAGGGCCACGATGCTTTCCTCCTCCAGTTCGAACAGGTCAACAACTACATCTTGGGTTTCCTCAAAGAAGTACTGCCTGACATCATGAACAAAGAGGGCCAAGCGCCAGAGGAACCCGGTGTTGGCAAGTTGACAAAGTCCAGTACTTTTGGCGAAGCAGAAGTCGAAGATATTACAGCATGGTAGGCTACACATTTGCAAAAACAACAGAAACCCTCGTCTAGATACGCGAGGCGCAGTAAATATCAACGTCATGTACATTGCGTGACGAAAAGGGGGCTCAACGAGCACATTATAGTTGGGGATGTGCATACAGACATACAGATACCTTCCAACAAGGTGTTTTTTCCCTCCCTCGCCACAATACGTATCATAATAGCAACCTTTCACTAGACCTGGGGCCGCACGAGTCAAATACTTCCGTTGCCGCGTTGCCGGTCTTTGCTCAATCCAGCACTTTATGCGTTTCGCCCGCTCCGTATAGCACGAATCACCGAAACATGCCTTCTCAGGCGACAGCTAGTCACAACATCGTGCCATCCAATAGCAGACAGCCTGTCCCCGGTCGGCTCCAGATAATCCGACGTAGCACGGAATACAATGCGAGTGGAACTTGCGGAGCAGTGTAGCGCTGTAGAAGCTGTCAACTGATGGCGTCCACACATCTTACATCTCCCTTCCCCCCCTCCACTCCAGTATGCAACTTGCCCAAAGGAGCGATTTCACACGTAACCTAAACTGCCTCAGCCATTCGGACTTTATGTCTTCTTGTTCACTCGTGTAGATTTTCCAGGCAGGCAGGTGGCCTTGGCGAGTTGGGGCTGCGCAAATTTCATGATGCGGAATGTTTGGCATGATTATGTGCCGTGGTTTCCAGGGTACTGGGTTTTTTCTATGCATTTTGAGTACGCTTGAGCCTGTTTGTTTATGAATGGTGATTTGGGGAAGGTTACGGGTAGACCATATACGATGTGACGGTGGTCAACTCTTCGACACAGTTTGCTTTGATACGCTGATACATTGAATGATGTTTGGCTAAGGGATATGTTGAAGAAAGGTACCCAATCCCGCAGTACGGAATGATGCTAGATACGCCAGCGAATGCACGCTTGCCTTCTAAATAATATCCTGCCGCAAACTATGAAATACCAAAACAACGACCGGTAACATTGGCAGCCTTGAGAATGAACACGGTCGCGTGCTTATCAGAGGCTGCGAACACGGGAGACTTCAATTGGCCATCAGAACATCAGAAGCGTACAGGGTGTTGAAACCGAGTATTGGGTACTGAGTAATGGAATTGTCGGATACATCAGGGAATGACATCGTCAATCGCCTCCCGAGGTTGATGACGAGAAGGATACCGTCAGTCGCCGCCCTTCGAGCCGGTCCTTGCTCCATGTCCTGTCAGGAATCAAGGCCCGCTATGGAGCCTTTAACGGCGAGCTAATTAATCATCGCCATGCTCAAACCGATAATCACCCAGGACACGACTCGTGCCTTTCAGCTGCGTCAATGATAGCAAACTACCCCGGCACAGAGCAAAGCCGAAACAAGCATCGTACGGTAGTGGAAGCCTTAACGCCAGCCAACAAGGCCAACGTTGAACGCTATTCGCTCTTTTCCATAAATGGTGAGGCATAATGAAAAAGGGGGGTCAAGGTGAATGAACCCCTGACAGGGAAGCCGCTTAGCTATCATCACCCATCACAAAAGCTTGACCGAGTGACAATGAGCTGAAAGAAGGAAAGCACACTTGGCGGAAGGTCCAATATGGCAATTACACACCACACGGGCGACGGAGAAGACTGACAAGTGCTGACCATAGGGCGCGAGTCTTGGGGGGGACAGCCACTCAAATCCGACAAATGAGGCTGTTATCCGTAACGAGGGCAAATGCGCGAAATCCTGGGGACATGGCTCAAATGCTTCACGAGTGCCGTTACTATTTCATGTGTGGCCAACCAGATTAGAAAATCCGGTGCTTATTCTGGCGGCTGATGGTGATTGCGTCAATCTGGCTGGTCAACAACAGCCGCCAAATGTACTGCTTCGTACTCCGTAGATTTCAGCGGTTCTCTATTCTGTCACAAACATTGCCATGTCACGTCATGGGCCGGTCGAGGTGATGCAACCGCAGCGAACAAGAGATGGAGCTGGCGTAAACGGCGTTTGGTGCGCCCGCAGAGCATGGGAGCGAGATTTCCGTCTTACCCTTGCTTTTTTTTTTGTAAGTCATTCATAAAGGATTTCGCCCCACGGCATGATTCGATGACTCCGATAGTGCGGATACTAATGTGAGAACGCGCAATGTTCTGGAAGGCTGGCAGAAGCCATTTGAGGAAGAAAAATCCTTGTCGCAATCCCCGCCCAATGCCAAGCCAGCGTCAGCCACAATGTAAACTTCGAAGGCTGGCGCACGCCCCGAGACCGACACGCTGCGTTGGTCGACTGGCCCCGTAAGATGCCGCGGTGTGAATTGCATGACAAGGTGGTTCGACAGGAGGTCTTGAAGCGGAATGCCGGCCTTCTGCGTCTTCTACCGGGCTTCCACAGGGGGTTTTGAGGCACCAACAGCACATACCGATCTAGGTAGCATGTACGGAGTACGCAGAGTTAATGCCAACGTGGATTTGGACAACCACGTGTGCATGTGTGCGAATAGCTGCAAGGACCGCCAAGTTGCACAGCCCTCGAACGGACGATACAACACCACCATCTGATTATGCCCGAAAGTCGGAAAGTGACCGGTGAGGTCGGGGGCGATATCGTCTGGTGTTCTTCTTTCACCTTTGCCAGTTCCCCCGGCCCTTTTAACATGACTTTGTGCTTCACCGTTGCCCAAAGCGTCAACGGTTGCACCTTCCACGGAAATGTGACGGAAGGTGCTAGTGACGCTGGCCGACTTGCTTGGTTTTGTACCAGGCAGGCTCCTTTAGTTAGGGCGGCACCTTGACCTTTCGAAACATGTTCCATTAGGGACATGGAAGTGTCTCTGTCGGCCCAAGAATCTTCACGTGTGCTTCGTTCCTTCCTCGCCGAGCAGCAATTGAATAGCCATTCCCCACCACCCCTGGGCGCGCACCCCTTCCCGGTTTGCCAGCTTGCCAGCATCCTTGACATCCCATTGCCCAAGTTCCCCTCTTTGCCCTCCGCGTGTAACTCTTGCCGTTCTTGTTGTACCAGGACCAGGCAAAGTGTGAAGAAACAACAAGACTCCTTGCCAGCACCAGGCCTTTTCGGCGAAAGCACCGAGTCCGAGCCGTATCACGGGCGCGATGTGGATGGCCAACCCTGACGGTCGGGTTCCAACGTCTCCCCTCATTTGCAACGCAACGCTGAAGATTCTGGTGCCAAGTTTGGCTTCCAGTCAACCAGTCTGGGGCGATATAGGGACTTGCTGCGAGGTGACTCGTCCAAATTGCGTTGAATCTGCCGTCTACTATTTGCTTCCTCACCTCTTCAAGCCAGCCATGGCATGAGCCACCCGACCTTCCCGACCAGTTTCCGACAAAGTGCTATCTACATGGGGCGCCTGGGACATACATACTAGGTACTAGTGTCTTATTGTGCGCCTGGTCCAGGCAACGGACGCCCTACTAGCATTGTGTGCTTCGTTTGCCCTGTCGCGAAGCGGAGCGTGGCTTCTGGAATGACTGGGGTATTCCCACTCTCATGACTACGTACTACAAATCTACAACCGAGCGCCCAAGCAATGCAGAGTCTCCCACAGCTAGTGCTCCCATCTACGAGATTTCTCTCCACTACGGAGTCGTCGCCACAAGCGGAGTCTATGCCGCGGGATTGGCGACCCGAAACATCTTTCTCACTCGACCGGTTTGCTCCCCTCTCCTCTCTTCCCATCTTCCACTGTTGTCGATAAACCTGGTTACCTTTGTATTGTGCGTATACGTACATGGTATTCTTTAAGCCGCGGCCTCGGACTCAAATAAACGTCTGTCAAAGAAACACCACAACTCAGAGCTCCGGCACTGACGGACCAAAATCCGCGCCTGGATTACGACCAGCCCTGGCCTACGCCGGCTATTGGGGACGTTGGCTATTTACCCTCCCGGAAGACACCAGATCCAACTCGGCCCCATACGCTCAATGCTGTCATTCATTTGGAAAATTTTGGGATAAACGGCGTCTCTTTTTGTGTCGCTTCCACAGATCTTGGGAAGTGAGCGCTGCAGCAACTGGGTCGCATCCCGACGAGCCAGGCGCCAGCCCCCATAGAATCGGTCCTCGACCACCCATCACTACATCGTTTTACTCGAAAATTTGCTGGCCTGCTGCCTCATGTATTAACTGTTGAAATTTCGCAGCCTCCGTCGTTGATTCGTCTTCGGCTCGCGAAAAGATGGCTGCCTCCGTGGACGAGATGCTGCCTCCTCCCATGACCCCGAGTGGTCACCAGCGCACATATGGCGGCAATCGGGCATTCCACAACTTTTATAATGATTATTCTCATATAACCGATCCTAATCTGCGTCGACGACTAGCATTGTCCGAGATTGACAAGGTTCCTTTTGGATTGTACCGTACGTAGTGGCAGCTGTCCGAGATTGGATTCAGTGGATGGTCGACGGAGTTTATTGGGAACTAACTTTTTCGTGCTAGACGTCCGGGCTATATTGGTTGCTGGTGTTGGCTTTCTTCTCGACTCATACGACATATTCTCGATCAACCTCATCACTATACTCTTGGGTATGGTCTTTTGGGGCGGCAAAGATGTGGTCAATGGCTTTGGCGGCAACAATGGCGTCTTGCCTGACACGACTAGTCAGGCCTTGAAAGCTGCCACCAGTGCTGGTATTGTTATTGGCATGGTTGTGTTTGGGTGGCTAGCAGAGTAGGTCATTTCGTTGCCGCGGTTGGTAGACTGTTGCTGACGAGTAGTGCAGCGCTTTGGGCCGCAGGCGCATGTATGGTGTGGAGTTGGCAATTATCATATTTGGAACCTTTAGCTGCGCCTTGGCTTCGAGCAGCCCGTCCATCGGCTCAGCCGGTCTCTTGCTATTCTGGCGGGTTCTTATGGTATGTGCGCACTCTGTCATAGACATGTCGGGGAACACCGGTCTCATTTCTCATTTTTTTTTCAGGGCATTGGCATTGGGGGTGACTATCCTCTTTCATCCGTCATTACATCCGAGTATGTGTCTACCGCCTTTCTTTCACTAAAC